AATACGTCACCCCAGACTCTCCCGATCTTTAGAGTTTCCATAAAGAAACTCTGCTGTTGTTCTGATGGGGTCATCTTTACAAGTAAAGCTTTCCCACAGTTTTCAATAACCTTTTTTCATTATTACTGTTGACTTTTAAACTATAATATGGTCATATTTGCTTAGGATTATAAATGTCCCCCACACAACACCTTTCCTTAGATTTTAGAAATTTTCTGCTTCAACACTGTGCACCGTGTTGGTGCTTGAGCTTCCTGCTCTCTCTGTGGATTTCACAAGAGCAGAGGAATTTCTCCTAGATCAGGAAGATGTGTGGCTATGCACTGTCCTTAGTCCTCTAGTCTTGTCAATAATGTACAGTATGAATTGCTAGAATCACCACCAATCAGGCCTTGGTACGTTACCAGACTCTAGATCCCTCTGATACAGATGATAGATTTTCTAAACTCATGATGACACTTCTCCATTGTAAAATAAAACAGGGGGAGATTTTGGAGGATTCTGCTCTTTGAGGTTGCAGTCCTCCCAGTCCGGGTAGCCTTTCTGAATTCAGCACCAGATGGAGGACTCCCTCTCCCCAGAAGGGCCTCTTTGCTTGACCTCATCTGGAGAGTGTCTTCAGGCATAGAAGACATATCTCATATATGGCCTTTGGCACAGTTCCCTGCTAGCTCTCCCCTCCCTATGCCTATAGGATAATCAAGTACTCTGTTCTCATTCATATGATAGGAGCATGCTGCCAAATACAAATCAAGCATCCTTGGAATTCTTAGTTCCAACCAATTATGTACACCTATCCTGGGAGCCCTCTACCCTCTCTCTAGGGACTATTAAGTTTATCCCAAATAAAGTTGAGCTATCTCACTAAAGTGGTTCATGGATGCTGTGTTATCATGCTCACGGCCTTCAGAGACCTGTGCACTGCCTCTCCTCCTCCTACCCTCATGGGAAGGGAGCCAACAGCCCCCCAGGGAAGAAGAGACCCACAGTTTCTTGTAGGTAGGGTATCTATTCCTTTCCATGTTTCTCTCTGCTATTGCTCTGTGGATGGATGCCCACCTCTCCTCCTACTCATGCCCACTTGAAGCTGTTTTCACTGCCTTACGGTTTTAATCTCCCATATCTTTGGATTCCAGTACTCACTAAAGTTTGATCAGAAGAGGGCTCCGAACTGAGCAAGATATCTTAATTCTTAGTGGGAAAGCTGTTTCTATGTACAATAATTTAGGCTCGGCCTCAGGAAATCATGAACAGTTTTCTAATTTATATTTGGGAGTTGAATGGGATGCCCCTTGGTGCTCCTCTACGGTTCTCAGACTCCAGTCATTCAAAGAAAGCACTGCATTCTCTCCTTGCTTTAACCAAAACTGCTGCTTCAGAATTGTGGAGTGCTCTCCTTGGAAAGCCACTGACTGAGGGCCTCAGAACCACATGTTTCTCATAAACTCATCCTCCATTAGCTCCGTCACCTCCTGCCACATCTGGCTTGTGTCTACTCTTACTGCAAGAATTGCTTACTGGTAGCGTGGACTTGGAGGAAGTTCCATGCTGCCCACATCAGTAGTGTGTTCAGTTTTTCCTGTCAAGGGCTGAGGACACAGGCTGTCCTGAAGATGAACTTCAGCTCCTCCTCCATAATCCTGATCAGTCACCTCCAATCTTTGGTGTATGTGTTCATATTTGTGCAAGTGTGTGCACGTGCATGTTGGAGGCCAGGGGTCAGCACTAGGTGTTTTCTTCCGTTACTCCCTAACTACCTTTTCATTTGTTTGTTTGCTTGTTTATTTGTTTGTTTTTTGAGACAAGGTTTCTCTGTGTAGCCTTGGCTATCCTGGACTCAATTTGTAGACCAGGCTAGCCTCAAACTCACATTGATCCACTTGTCTCTGCCTCCCTGAGTGCTGAGAGTAAAGGCATGTGCCACTGTGTCTGGCTCCTAACTTACTTTTTGAAACAGGCTCCAACTGAATTTGCAACTCACCAGTTTGGCTAGCTAGAAAGCTTCAGAGAACTCCCTATCTCCAAACCCCAGTACCCTGAGTGCTGGGAATTCAAACTCGGGTCCTTATGTTTACAGATCCAGAAACTGAGCCATCTACCAAGGCTATTAGCCAGCTCTACAGGGGGCTTTAGGAAAAGGCTACCAAATGAAGCTGTCATGTGAGTCTTTTCTTATCCTTACCTCTCATCTATATTTAGGTCATCTTGATGGTCTTAATCCCAGTTTAGCTAAACCACTGCTGGGTACACAAAGATTCATAAACCTGGTAGTGTATAATATGTGAGATTAGGCAAGTGTGTATATCAAAGCATGCAAAACTAGAATCTCTGGCAAGAACACATTATCTGAGCTGAGTTTAAAGGGACAGTTAGGAACCAAGCAAGGAAAGGAAGAACAACCCAAATGAGGGAGAAGCCTATGGAAGAACAAGACCATAGAATGAAGGGCAATTGTCTAAGTACGGGGAGGGTGGAGGGTGGAGGGAGCTAGCTCCCAGCCTTCAGTCCACAGAAGAGGATGAAGAAGCTGATGGAGTTAATTTGTAAACTGAGGCCCTGAAGCCTATTCTCTTGTCTCTGTTTGCCCAGAAGAAGCTCTATCTGCTGTCTTGGCCACAGCTTTCCTTCCACACTAGCAATCATAGCAGCTTCCTAAAGCCCCTAGGTAGACAGGACTACCTGTCTCCAAGCTCATTCCAAACCAGCAACTTCAAAGGGTTTTGATTGTCAACCTCAGAAAGAAATGTGTTCTGTGCTAGGCCCTAGAAATAGACCACCAAAAGAAAAACTGACAATTTCCAGGAAAACATACCTGAAAATTTAATTTTGATGTGCTGTTTTCTGTTCTACCAGGAAGAGAGGGAAGGAGGGAGGGAGGAGGAGAAGGAAGGAGAAAAGAGATACCAAAAAGCCAAAAAATAAAAAAAAAGTAAAATACCAGAAGACTCAAACCGGAATACATTAACTTCTTGGAGTCTGACACAATGATTTGTGATGCCCTCTGCCTCAGTTAAGGCTGAACTCCCAAGAGCCCTGGCACCATCCAAATGGCTAGCCTTAGAAAAGACAAGTGATGTTATAAAAAATTACTACTAATGAGAAAGTGAGCTGCCCTGCTCTTATCTATCCAAATAGACCATACACAGATGGTCCAGAAGAGGCGTGAGGTAACTTTTTTTAACTGCAAGAAAGGATCCCTTCCATATAAGGATACCCTTTCTCTAGGGATCTCTTCCTTATAAGGATATCTTCCTGTAAGGATCCCTTTTCTATAAGGACCCCTTTCCTATAAGGATCTTTTCCTATAAGGATCCCTTGCCATAAGGGGTGATTCTTTCTCTGAGAATTTGCTCACTGTGCATCTGTCTATAGCATTTATTTTTTTTATGTCAGTTCTGAGCAAAAAATACTCCTCCTCCCCCCTCCAAATCCTGTGGCTCTTCATTCCTAGCATGACAGAAGGAGAAAGAGAGAAAAAAGAAGACTGAGTGGGACCACAAAGTTGGTCTCACCATCCAGTGAGTCACAACTCAGTCTGAGAAACCCTGACTGGGGCCTTGCAGCCTAGTTTAGATGCAGCAGAAAGCAGTACTGTGAGGTGGCTAAAAATACAGACTTTGGGGACAAACTGCAAATTCAAGCTCTCTTCTCCCACTTAATTATGTGTGGGAACTTGGGCAAGCTACTTATACTCTCTGTGCCTCAGTTTCTCGTCTGAATAATGGGATGTCAGCAGCAACTTTCTCCCGCAGTTGTTACGAGGATTAAATGAGGTCTTATACATGTGAAAGTCTAGAAAATAGGCATCTAAGAGTTGCTGTCTAAAAGTATGAGCTTCCGCAACTTCATCACCACCATCACCGCTACCCTAACTACCCACCACGACCACCACCATCATCACCATCACCACCACTACTCTCCTCCTCCTCCTCCTCTTCACTACTATCGCCATCATCATCACCATCACCTTCGCCACCACCATCACCACTACCACTGCTACCACCATTATTATTACCACCACCACCAATTCCACCATCACCACCACTTTTGGTCCTCCAGATATTCTACCATAAACTGAAACTCACTTACAGCAGCATTACCAGGAGACAATTAAGGCAACACTAAAGAGTTGATTTGAGGATCTGAACAAATCCACACTGTGTTTAAGGCGGGATGTTGGAGATGCCCTGAGATACGGTTCGTACAGACTCTGCCCGACTCCACCCCACTGCTGCTTGTAAGAGTGTCAGAAGAACTGTCCTCTGTCACCCTGGTCCGGTGTCCTAGAGAACACGGCCTTTCCACTTTCTTCTAATAGAGAGTACATTTCCTCACTGAAATTCCGTGATCTGTCTAGACTCCCAAGCCCTTGCTGAGGGTTTCTGCTATGTCAGAATGCTGCATTTCCCCCACACAAGTCGTATATTTAAACTCTATCCCACAGTAAATAATATCAAGAAAGGAGCCTGGAGGAGCCTCCATTCCCTCACAAAAGGGATGAATGCCACAAGAGGACATGGCAAGAAGTGCCACGTGTTTTCTTAGCAGAAGGTAACCTTTCACCAGAAACCTTGATCTTAGCCTTTCCACCTGGAGAACTGTAAGCATTAAATCCTATTGTCCATAGAGCGCCCCATCTAAGGTATTGTGTTACAGCAGCTACATAGGCTAAGAATTTCCTTTTAACGGTGAATCCTTGGGACTGTAATAGGATGTGAGCTTATAGACAGGAAAAGTGCTGTTTTCTCTTGCATCATTTCAGCGCACTCCGTCCTCTAAGGGACGACCCACAAAAGGGGTTTAGAAGGAGAGAAAAAAAGCAAACCTCTGATTATTTCCAGTATCTAGCACGAACGAACCCACCTCACCCAGTGCATCAGATACATAGATGGAAAACTTAAAAGACACCTGCTGTCAGATAGGTGGGAAGCCAAATTTCTAGACCGTTCTACCCATTCGCGAAGAGCACATTCAGGAAATTAAAAACAAAAAACTGGAGACTTGAAGTAAATGTTTCATTGGTCATGATGATCAAAAGATGACAATGAACACACACACTCACACAGACCTTATCCCGCCCACTGCAGGGGGGGTCTCACTCCCTCCGGATGGGCTTGTCCTGCTGGCCCTGAAGCCACTGCCCCACCAGGACTCTGCCCTTCACTCTGAACTTCTGTCCTGATTCTCATCTTCTCTCCACTCGAAACCTGGAGGCCGGATGTCCAGGCAGAGCCGTGAAAAACGGGGGCCTTGGCCCAAGTCTGCAGTCAGTGGACAGTGTCGCAATGTCCGCGGGCTCTTCTCCACCTCCTTTTCCACACTCTCTCCTTCTGTCCCCTCTCCCACCCCATAATTGTTCCCCAGAAACAAATAGGATGGCTTCACTGGTCATTCTTTACATGTACAAACACCAAAAGCAGAGGAAACGCCCCCTTGGCCACCCCCCTCCCCCCAAATCCCAGTGCTGGGAGAGCAGCCAGAGGCCGAGGCTGCTGGAACCAGGTTGCTGCTGGAGCTGTCCGGCTGTCCTGGAAACTTTCTTGGCCTCAGGGCTTTACCTGGAGGCCTCTTCCTTCAGCTCCTTATTTTTCCGCACCTCCTCTGCGTGCTTGTCCTGGGAAGGAAGGGAGGGACAAGGGCAGGTCACACAAGGCTGCCAGGGAAGACCAAAGGACAGGAGAATGGAACACAAAGATGGTCACCACGGGCAGAGCAGAGCTGTCAGCGAAGGTATCCTGAGAGGCGTGGAAGGAGGCAAGTAAGACGCGGGACGCGGGGAGTGTAAGCCTGCAATTACACAGAGCTCCTGGACTCGTGATTCCCCACAGCCTGCTGGGGATCCACCTCACAGTGACTCTAAGATTACCCTAGGCTCTCTTTACCTCCACTGGTCATCCTGGCACTTGGAGTGGTCACTTGACTCAAGTAAATATGAAGAGCCACTTGGGATAGCCAGTTTAGGAGGAATGGGGAAAGAATCCGCCCTTTGCCAGCACCCTTGGGACATTACAGATGTGTTACTTCCCTCCCATCTCTTTAGTGTCATCTTAACACGATGACACTGAAGGAGGAGGACTGTCAAGTCACAGAACTAACAGAGAACTGTTGGGAAATAGTGCTTCACTCTGGACAGTGGACTCCCTTCTGTGTTGGAAGACAACCTTCCTTTGCTTCGTAATGCAATTCAGCCAGAAGACTGGGTCTGCCTTCCCGCCCCCAGCCAAATGTGTGACTTTAACTGCCTTACCTAACCAGGCCTCAAGTTCTTGGATCTTTCCAGAGGGACTAGAATAAGCAGCTAGCTCACCTTCAACACTCTGTGACAAGTGTCCACCCATGGGGCCATGTCACACCAGCTCACTAGACAACTATCTGGGTCCTTGTAGACCAGGAGCATTTTTATGTGTTTCCTTGATTGTGTTTCCCAGCCCCTACTGTGGTACATGGACAGATCCTGCTGTTCCACATCTGGATGAGAGATTAACATGGAATAAACCCACCCAAGTTCTTAAGATACATCTTCACCTACAAGTTTAGCCCTCCACTGATCTCTGACTTCAGAAATGTCCACAGGTTGAAAGCAAGGGGCAGTATGTCTGGTTCTCAAATGCTGCTGTATATCTCATGACCTGGAGTCCACACGGTCTTCAGACCTTGCCCCTAGAGGGCAAGGCAGTAAGTCTACTCCTAAAAATTTTGGTCCTATCCCACACAAGAGCTAGTATAGACAACATCGTTGATATTGATGCTGTCTCTGGTTCATGGACAGAGATGAGGGGAAAAACCCACACGCCTGGCTCTCAACCTTGCCTCCTGCCTCCTCCAGTGAGTAATTGTGAGCAGAGATCAAGGCCTTAGAGAAAAAAAAAAAAACCAAAACACGTCCTCTCAGATGTCTGATCTGGCATCTTGATCCTTAGCATGTACTTAACGCGCACAGCTGTTATTCCAAATTCAACCTTGTCAATCTATCTCTACCTCCCCCTCTGTATTCAAGCGAGTTGCCATGGCAGAGACCCGGGTTTCTGGCCTCCACTTGCTTGGTTTCCAGAAACCCCTTGCTGATGGAAGGCTAGTGAGACAATATTGGGATGTTCTCTCTGAGACAGGCAAGAAAGCAACCACTTGGACAAGAGGTCAAGGCTAGCTCTACTGCTTGTGTGCCGTGTGAATCTCAGTGAATCATTTAACCTCTGGAATGGTTTCCTCATCTGAACTAAGAATGACACCTGTCCTGTTCACCTCCAAAGAGATGTGATGACCATGTAATGATAAAATTAAAGCAATTTATTTAAAAAAAAAAATCTTCAAGTGTTCTGATACAATCTAGCTTTCCAAGATTCTTTAGGTTTAGTAAGCCCATAACTCTCCCATCCGAACTGCAGTTTCTTTAAGCATTTGCCTTGGGGTTGTGGCTATGGTCTTACTGGACGAGTGCCTACCTCGCATGCACAAAGCCATGGGATCAATCCCCAGAACTGCATAAAACAGGCGTAGTGGCACACCCCTGTAATCCCCACACTTGGAGGTGAAGGCAGAAGGATCAGGATTTCAAGACTATCCTCATCTACATAACCAGTTTGAGACCAGTCTGGGATACACGAGACCCGGCATCAAAAAAGAAAAGGTGATCTTAATCTTCCCTACAGTATCTCTTATTAACTGGAGAAGCCCAAAGTCACAATCAGATTGTGTCCTTCCCCTAAGGCACTCGGTGGAGAGAGAAGTCCTCCTGTCCTTTGTGAAACTGAATGTCAGAGCATGTAGCTGCCACCTATGGGCCAGCCTCGGAGCCTGTGCGGCTCACACCCCTGGATGAAGCTAGATCTTTCTAGCAACTGTTGCCAAAGGCCTGAGGTTCTAAGTGGGTAGGCGGGAGGGAAGAAGGACCAGGCTGCTCACCATGGGACGAGGCCACCGTTCGGTCCCGGGAGTCACCGCGCAGCAGGCGGCTCCTGGAAATAAAACACAGAGCTAAAGCTTCCCAGGAGCTGCAGGAGAGACTGAGGCAGCCTGGGACTCGGGGAATGAGGCCAGCATGTCTTCCAAAGAACAACAAGGAGGATTACACCTCTCATGTGTAAGTGAGATTTGGGTTATTGGCAAAGGCAAAAACCTACTCCTCTTTGACCCTTATGAGGAGCTCTGAGGGGGAATGGGAGGAACCCTGTACCCTGCTTGACTGGAAGCTGAGCTTGTTGTGCCCCTGACTCAAAGCCATGCTGAGGTTAGCATCTTTCGTTATGCCAAGTCTGCCCATCCAAGGATGAAGCCAGAAATGTGCAGACATATGTCTCTCCCTAGATACTTGCATTGGACAGGCATTCTCTAAGAAAAAAAGGAAAAAAAAAAAAAAAGAGTGTGAGCAAGCCCCTGAGACAGTGAGAAATTTCTAGTGTTGTAAAACTCTAGAAAAATCCCCAGGGCTACCCAAAGTTTGGTATGAGCGTCTTGCCTATGACTTCCCAGATTGTCCCCTTAGAAATGACGAGGACCCTACTCGACAGAAACATTTCCATTCCTGCAGAGGCTGCTTCTTCCAGAGTGATGTGTAGGTCACACGTACTTGCCACAGAAGGAACTTCCTGCCAATCCAGGACCACTTACCTTCTCTTGCAGCCGCTCCAACATGGCGGCCAGGTGGGCCTCCCGGTTCTCCTTATTAGACTCCATCTTCTGTGCCAGCTTCTCTTTGGCCATCTTGATGAAGTTGTTGTTTTCCTCGATAGCTTTCTGGATCACCTCTCGCTCATGCTCTCGTTTCTCTGCGAGGTGCTTCAGGAGCTCGGCTTCCTGGTACTAGGGTAGCACCAGAGAGAGAAAGACCCTTGAGGGTAGATGTCTACCATCATGGCTTAACCATGCCACACCTAGACGAGTTCACCCCCAAACCTGTTCCTGTGGCCCAGAAACAGAAAGCAATGACGCTGGACTACCTCCAAAGCTTCCCATCTTTGACTTTACTAGCTCTTTTCTAAATAGCTTCGGAACCTTTTTCCCCCCTCATATTCCTCATTCAATCTTCCACTCACTCATTCACAAATACTAGGTGATCTTATATTAACTTCAAGGCCCTCACAACTCCAGACCACCTTGGAAGGGAGAAAATTAGCCTAGTAGAAATAAGCATGCATATTAATAAATAAGTGAAACACAGACTTGCATGTGATTAAAAAAATAAAGCCTTGAAGGTGAAGGAAGGGACCACAGAATTAAATGGAGAAAGTTTTCTTTCTTTCTTTTCTTTTCTTTTCTTTTTTTTTTTTTTTTTTTTTTTTTTCTTGAAAGATGAAGAAGTGCTCACATTAAAATGGCATCTAAGTTGAGATAATAATCAACGGGGGAAAAAAGGAAGCTGAATACAAAGCCATCTCCGAGAGGCCTGTAACACGTTAGCCATGAACCAAACTGGAATCTCACCCAGTGCACATTCACGGTCTTGTTTATCTCCCTCAGGTACTGTCTTGGTCTATGCCAGTGGTTCTTAACATATAGGTTGCAACCGCTTTGGGGGGGGGCACATATCAGATACAATTACAGTTACGAAATGGCAACAAAAATAATGTTATGGTTGGAGTCACCACAACATGAGGAACTGTACTAAAAGGTCGCAGCAGTAGGATGGCTGAGAACCTTTGGTCTATGCCCAGCACTCAGGAGGTGCCGTCTAAGTACTCATAGTTTCACTGTGCCCTTAACCGGCTCAGAGGCACCACCTCACGCCTCTGGCTCCTTCCCGCTCACAGTGGGATGGATGGAAAAAAAAAAACATGGGGTGGCGCTGACCTTCCTCCGCTCCTCCGCTGCTTCTAGCTTCTTCTGGATCTCTTCTAATGATGGGTCTCGCCGCCGGGGGAGGGAGGCATTGAACTCGGGCACCCCGTCGAAGGAGGGTGGCTTCAGGATGACTTCAAAGGACTGGCCCGAGGTACGCTTGTTCAACTCTATGACCTCCATGTCGGAGATGACACACCAGTTCAGGTCCACTGTGTCTGCTGGGGGGGGGCAGAGGTGGAGCTGCTCACCCGCCGAGGAGCAGCTGGGGCCCCAGCGAGCATGCACACATGCACACAGACACAGGGGACCTGGGCCTCCCAGGGCACGCCAGTGACTAGGGGTCTCCAGTCCTGAACACTGGACCGTAAGGTCAGTGACGGAGTAACGTTTGGGATCCCTGGGGCGGGATCCCAGGAACTGTGATTTGTGACAACACCTGCAGCAACACCAGCTGCGGTTGCTCCTCACTGATGACAGATATCGGTACATTTCACCCACCGCCCGCCACCAGCCCCTTCTTGCCCTGTCCCTCTGACGGCCTGTGGACCTCTCCCCTGGCTCCCGCCTACCCTGTTCTCTTCTTTCTCTCCAGTCAGCACTGCCTTTCCGCTGGCTTTGACCTTTCCTCCTACACTGTCTCCCACACCAGCCTAAATGGAAAAAACAGTCTCAGGTCATCCAAACACCCATCTTTCTCATTAACAGACCAAACCCATCCCTTCCTTGCAAACAGAAATGAAGAGATGACCTATCTGTCCCCCTGACCACTCTTTGTGAGAGTGTGGCCACCCAGGGTCTGGGGACTCTGACAGCACCGCTGTCACCATCTAGTCCAGTCTGGGAGCATCTCTCTCTGTCCCTAGAAGCCCTGCTGAACACACCAAGTTTTCTTTTCTGTTCTGTGTCTCCATGGGCATAATCTCAGAGCCTCTGTCTGGCTTGTTCTTGCATCCCCTGTGGTGTCAATTTATTCAAGGGATATGCAAAAGAGACTCTAAAAACAAGTGCTTCAGAAGGGCCCCCACAGCTGCCTGGCACCACAGGCCACATCTCCTGGTCCCAGACACCTCAGGCTCTGGGAAAGAAGACACACCATGACCAGGACAGTTTTATGAGATGGGGGCCAATGAGGGGGTAACCCACAACACAGAACACAGAAGCCTCCACCCTTTCTTTTCCCAGCCGAGCCCCCACTCACCTTCGTATTTGTAGGACGATTTATTCAGGGGATCAGACAGGAAGCAGGAGCAGAACAGAGACACCAGTGGGAGCTCCTTCATCTTCTCCTTGTAGGCTACAAGAGAGTGATCCAGTGACAATGGGGCCACCAGTCCCAGTAACCAACACTTTCACGAGTCAGCCCAGGCTTTCTGGCTCCAAAGTACCCCTGCCTGAACCAACTCAGGATTGAAATTTGACCTTCCAACTCACCCAACTGAACCCATCCGTCTGTCAGAACCAAATGCTAAGTACTCTCAAGTAAAGACCCCAAGTGGCAGTGCCCTGACCCTGGTCACCATCTCCTTCTTATACACCCACCCAAGGATAAACCAGGACTTTGATTCGAGGTTGTAGGAAACTATACTTCATTCTGCTGAAAGTACTTGACATTGTTCCTTTTTACTCTTCATGTAGTCCAGCTCCACTCTAGAGGGGGTAAGGCTGGGAGTCTTCTCAGATCTTCCCATCACAGGAATCAAGCCAGAGGGTGGCTGTCCACAGAGCAGAAATGTACCCTTGACACCACCGAATCTCTCTGGAGGTCACAGGTCATCATGGTGGCCTCTGCCAGCACTTCCCCACTGCACCATGTTTAATGCACAGTATGAAAGACTCCCTCATTACATAGGCCAGTGCTCATTTTCTCTTACAAAACTGAAATCATGATTTTAGCACTATTATAAATACATTATTTTAAAATTTAAGGAATACACACATGAGCAAATGAGGAGGAGGAATTCAGTTATGATCCCACCTACTTCCCAGAAATGCCTTTGCCTCCTTGCTTCTCCACCCTTTCCTTATACGTATCTGTAAGTACACATACATTAAGAGAGCTGGGGAGCTGGTAAGTTGCTTGCTTTGAAAGAACAAGTTCTGATCCTCCACACTCACATGTGAAATCCACTGGCGAGGCAAGAACAAGAAGATCCCTGGCATTCACTGGCCAGTCAGCTTAACCTTAGCAACACACCTCAGGCCAAGGAGAGACCCTCTGGCCTCTATATGCATTTGTACACACATGGATGTTATACACATACATGTGTGTCCCACCTACACATGAACCTTAGTACATATGAATACACACACACACAGACACACACACACACACACACACACACACAGAGAGAGAGAGAGAGAGAGAGAGAAATGGCTTGTGTTATGGTGTCCATCACCAAATGGCACAGGTACCTACCTGCGAGGGTCATGTTGGCTGGAATCTGGTGGCTGAATTGACCAAAGTCACAGGGAGTGTTTATCAGCAGCTCAGAACTCAGATCACAACCCTAAGAAAGAAAGAATAGTTCACACTGACAGGTTCTTACCATAAAGATGGTCTTTTTGAGCACCAAGGGAATCTTGGGGATACTGCATCTGCTATGATCTACAGGCCCTCTCCACTCCAGCTTTCACTCTCCCCCTCTCCCTCCTTCACATCTTCCAGGCAGATTCAGTTCATACACCAAGGAGCCTTTCACAACTGACTTGAAGCATAATAATACGGGTTCCCCCAAGTTCATCCCTTAGAGGTGTTTACCTAGCCTTCTATGCACTGTAATAACTTGGCTTAAGGTCAGGGTGAAGGCGAGAGGCAAATTTTCAGTAGAAATTGTCTGGAAATGTTTATAAATTAAATAGCTGTCTGAACTTCTCCACCCCAGACATCTTTCCAGCCAACTCTGGCATGAGGTGAGTAGGAGATGGACAGGAGACATAAAACCCGCTTATGAGAAACCCTCCTGCTTCTCCATCCTCCCCAAAATCTACCAGCTTGCTGTCTTGAGTCCACTGAAAATGGCCCTGGACCATGAGAGGAGGCACACACTGAAGTATACAATCATAATAACTGTGTTAGTGCAGAGACATACATGGGCACATGGGAACATCTTAGGACTGGAGACAAGAACCTCTCCTTAGCAAGAGGCTGAGGGATCCAGGGAGACCCTGAGATGAGCCTTAAAAGATGAGGCAGAGAAGGAATTGGCCAAGTGGACCCTGCACAGAAGCACAGAGGCGAGAGAGCTTTGGCCATGAGGATTGTTCTTAATCTGGTTGGAGCTGAACCTGAATATGACAAGAGAGGAGAGGGCAAGAAGAGAGATAGGAATGTCAAGGAAGGAGCCTGTGTGAATGCCTGGGACATGAGAGGGGACAGGGCTCCACTGAGAGCTAGTGGTGAGTGCTTGGCATGGAGACCACTTGGCATGTGGCCACCTTTGATGGTCACTGTGCCAGCAGAGAGTGAGGAGAGCTAGGATGTTACTACTCCTTCATCCTCAGGAGACATAGCAACTTGAGGTCCTTTTCTTTAGATAGTGAGTGTGTCTACCCTTCTAGGGGGTGAGGTCCGTGTAGACAGGCGGTCTGAAAACTAGACTAGTGCAAAGTTGATGCTAGGTGCCATCTCACCCTGTCACTGGTCACGTTGTACACCTAAACCTTGTGCTTCCAGTCTTCATTCTGTACAGAGCTGCACTTGTAAAATGGGACAAGATATGCCCAGCATCCAGCATCCAGCATTCAGGAAATGCCCTTCCCCGAGCTCCTGCTTCAGGGTTGCCCTCGCCAGCCCTGCAAATGGGGATTATGCCCCTGTCTCTCAAGACTAACAGAGAGTGAGCACAAATTTGAAGCGAGACCCAGCTGCCCTTAGAGGGCTCTGTTCTCCGTTCTCGAGCCAAGGACCCTGCCAGGTCCTTCTCCTGACAGCACAATAGGCCTTTTCTCCATGGTGTCAGGCTGGTCCTGATGGTACCAGTGAGTTCGTGAATATGGAGACAGGCCTGGTGCCTGAGGACAAAGTCTTTGATCATGAGACCAGCATTCATTTAGGTCCAGAGTGATGGAAAAGTGGGGTGACTTGGTGAAAAACTTGGCCAGAGGAGGCAGAGACCTAGGACCTTGGATGATGGGTCAGAGGGAGAAGCAGGAACAGAGAGAAGAGGAAGAAAACACACACCTGATATGAGGGATGAACAGGTGCAGCAATGGGGGGAGGAATATGTCCTCAGCCTGGGCTGGAGTGACAAGATCCTATACACATGGAACACTTTCAGCTTTCTCCCAGTTCATATTCACACGAGCCTGAGCTGTGCAGACAAGGCAAGTGCCCTTGTCTCTCTGCATTCAGATGGAGAATCTGAGACTCAAAGGCGTTACGATAACCTGCTTAAGGTCAGAAAGCACTAAAGTGGTCAACCTGAGTCAGACCCAGACCTTCTGAATTATAAGCTCTTCTCTAGTGGCAAATAGAGGAGCGAAATGCCTGCTACTTATCCCTCATGGTCCCAAGGATTTAAAAAAAGCCAGTCTAGCCTGGAGGTGGGAGGGAATATATTTTTTTTCAAATATGTATATAAGTACTTTCCATATGTGAAAACCTGGGCTATGAGTCATGGTAACACAGAGAATGTTGGAGACACTGAGAAGAAAGACCAGGGCAGGGAACAGGGGAGGTGACAAAGTTACTAGGAACTTGTCACAAATCTCAGAGCTGTGATGTTTGAGCCTGCACAGTTAAAACTTGGAGTCACAGAACATTCACTTCATTACACACTCACCCCAAGTTTCACAGTTGCCTTTTGGAAGGGCAGAAATGCTCTTCCGTCAGGAGGATAAGGTGACAAGTCCAAGCCCATTCAGTAACCTGAGTTGAACAAGGAACATGCACATAGCCTAACATTGTGAATGTGGTGTTAGGTAAAGAAAGGACCATTGCAGACTTGATTGATGGCTTCAAGATGAGAGCGTCCCTGACTAACCCAAGTGAGAACAGAGGCAGAGATCAAAACGATGCAGCTGCAAGCCAAGGAACGCCTACCTATACCAGAAGCTGGAAGATGCAACTGAGGATTCTCCCTAGAGTCTTTGAATAAGTTGGTTTTGAATTTGTGTCCTCCTGCTCTGTGGTGAAGTATATGTCAGCCTTAATACTCGAAGTACATGACAAACCCAAGGTTCAAATCCATGATTCTTCCACTGCATCTCAACCGCTAGTTTTTATACATTGTCTGTTTTGTTCTTCAATATACTCTATGTACGTGGACCCAGAGATACAGGGGACCCTTCAAAACTTGCATGTTGACATGTCATTTCTATTGTAGTCAAGAACCATGAGGCACTCTGAGAAAGGTTACAGAAGATACCATAGGCAAAGCTTTCTGGAAAGCACAGCAATTCAAAGTGACTTTAAGCCCCTGGGGGTGGCAGTCACAGTAGGAAACCTGACTTTCCCTATGATTAGCTTGTGGCATCAGTGCTTGCTGGCAACTAGTCAAATGCACCTTCCTCAGCCCTCTGCCTGTGGTGTGGCTCCTGCTCAGTAGCTATGGCCATGTCATCATGTCCTAACAACACAGAGCCTAGAGGAGGGCCTACTGGGTGTGCCTACAGCTGTGAGAAAGAGAAGTAGGAACTGTTACACCACGGGTCAGAGCACAGAATGCTAGAACTCATGAAGGGCAGGAGGAAGAGGCAATGGTGGCCAGCAGAGAAGCAAGGCTGAGTTAACCTATCAGGACGAGATGCTGCCCAAGACATCAACCTGCTGAGCATAGGAAGGCAATCCCTCATGCTAAGCGCACACCAGGCCCATCCCAAGCCTCTTGCCATGCTTGCTGTTAAGGCAGAGACCAATCCCAGCCTTCGAGCAGCAAAAGCTGACTGCACACCAAACCCTAGAGGTCAATATAACAGTCACTGCAGAATAACAAGGGCTCGGGATGATGCCCGAGCTTTTACAGAGCATGACACAAACTGGTTGGTCAAAAGTAAGACACCCCTGACCACCTAATTCCCATGCTGCAGAAACTGAGCCAGGCTGACAGGTGCTGAGAGGCCTCAACGTGTCTGCTGTCAAAAATCAAGATGACAGAGTTATGTAACTTGGGCTCCTTGTGCCTAGAACCATGTAGAAGCTTTGGAACTCAGCAGTGCTGAAGTGTGAACTGTGCATATTCAGGCACGGGGAGGAGGGGGGCTCATTGGGCTACATGCAGACTGTCTTGAACACCAGAACAGAAACAGAAGGATGGCAGACAGACACCTCCACACCAGTGAAGGAATTTATACCTATTCTGTTTTCAAGCCATTGTCATCTTTTCAATGAGAACAGAGGTGGATGGGTGATGTTCCAGAAGAGTCGAAGCTCTATCTCAACTTAATTGAAGTTCAGCAAAGTTGAGTTGATTGTGCCGAGTTGCATAGCTCATGAGTCCTGAGCTGAGAGTTGAGTCTACGTGAGTTTCATGGGCAGTCTGCCTCTGTTTTCAGGGTCTAACGTTATTGCCAATAAATGTGTCTGGTGGCACTATCTTAGGGAAGAAGACTAGAAGAGGTAACTAGAAGCCATGGCAAAGTTCAAAGAATCGGGGATACACCGAGACGAAGTCACACTCTGGAGTCACGCCCAGCCCTGTTGTCCCATTTATAAACCGATCCTTGCACAATATCAGCACGTAAGTGGCTGTGTGTGTGGTAACACAAATAATCGCACTTTTCCGTTGCTGGATTATAACACTAGCATATTTAATAAAATAATTCTGTGACTGATATCGGGCACCCAAGCAACCAGGCAACCAAGAACACAATCGGACATGGCAAATGAAGCAGGTTAGGTGGGCGTGGTTTCTAGCGAAAAGGCAGAAAGAAGCAAGGCTGTTGACTGGAGGGGGGCCTTCTATTTCTAGCAGGAAGAGAGAGGAAAAGATGGCTAGAATGAAAAGGTAGAGCCCTTCCTATGACATCAGAGACAAGGCAAACAGGCAATCACAGGGCTGATAGCTCCCCGTGAGGAACATATGAGCCCTCCCTGTAGCAGCTAGAGAAGACCTGTTGTGTTTGGTGAAAAGAAGCCAAGGAGCCCCAAGGCTCTGCAGTGTACCTGACTATCCACATCACTCCCACCCAAGATGTCAGTCTTGTGCTCACTGGAGAGAAGAGAGCCTGAGGTTTCACAGAAAGCTGTTGGCACAGGAGGAACCAGAATGTAAGGTCCTGGGTTCCGTTACGTGAGCCTTCCCTCTTTGTCCTGGACTCTTTCCATCTTCTTGAATGGTACAACAGCCCAGCTTGGTGGTCTGCAGAGCTGCCCTCAGTACAGAAAACAGTGCCCAGAAGAAATGCCAGTTTAGAGTACTGTGGCAGGACTGAGGCTCTAGGCTTTCCGGGGTCAGTTAGTGACCCGGAACCAGAGCAGTGTGCTGAGCACTCCAGTGAGACCTACCCCATCTGTGTCCAACCCCTGAGCGTCTCAAAGTGGCCACAGAGTGGACAGAGTGGGCAAGTA